GTTGTTATATTCGTGTTGCAGTATGGACTTAGTTCTAGTCAGATCAACTTGTCGTTCTTCTACATCAGTTTTATTGGTAGTTGTTGACAAAAAATAAGTTATCAAAATTAATCCTTCGTAGCTGATATCTATCTTTTTTTAGTGAATTTAAAACTTTACAATCTTATTATTATATGCGATAGGCAAAAATATCGCAAATGGTTTTTGTTCAATTAATTTATCGTCACTATAAATTAATTTAGTTCGTTAATAATAATAAATGAGAATCAAGTATTGATCCATTACGGATGGTGGATATTTACCAACTAAATTGAACTTAAATGATTTTATATCGATGATGCCGAAATTTCGCTAGAAACATATAATTATATATTTAAATGGCTTTTACAAATTTATAATTACTGTTTCGATAAAATTCGTAATCCATTGTAAACAAAGTCTAAATACTAATCTTTCATATACTGTATGTACCACTAGATTCAAAACAATTTTAAAACTATATAATTCTGCTAGGATGCAATAGTACGAGCGAGAGTGTATTTGCACCTACGTATCTTTTATTAATTTACTCATGACAATGTGAGGCGATTTGGGGGTAGCAAATATTCATCTTTCAAATATACGAATTTACATGTATTAAAGAAATAATGTAAAAATTGTGTGCTTTAACCATAAATTAGAAATACTAACTGGAATATATGTTTATATAGACATGCGACTGTTAGTAATCAAGGATTAATTCATGATTAATGAATAAATAAGCCGCTAAATATTTATTCATCATGTATATACATACATCGTAAAATTAGCTTGAGTTGTGCAATCCTCTGTCAGTGCTGTGATACTGACGACAGTTTGAATATTTATACATAGCTTATTCATTTGCTATCATTGCACCTAGAGGTTAGCTTTGAGCATGATCAATGACAAAATAATCTATCAAATGCCGGTATTTCATAGACCATATTTATTCCAATGCTAAATTAAAATCCAAGTTATACAGCGAAGGGTAATGAATATATGTTGTACATGACTTTTAAAGGCTATATTTCCATTTTGATAAGCTATTTGACTACCGATCTATGGCTATCCTCAAGTGTTAATTTTCTTCACAATGTGTCGAGGCGAAATTATCAACTAGGATATGCAATGAGCATCTAGCTAAATTCTTTTACATACAAAGCTATACTGCTTATTACAGACTGCTACTGGAAGCTTGCAAGGATAATTATTTTCTGATTTTGTATAAGAAAACATATAATGATAGCCTATAATGTTATTGATAATCTATAGTTGCATAATATGCAAACTTTTAATAAATGATTTATTAAGACGTAGCTTTGATGACAGGATAGTAAGATAAATAAAATTTACTGCCGTAGTAATAATCTAGGATAATTGATTCGTATTATAGACTCGATAAATATCCTTGGTTCAATATTACTTACCTTAATTTACGTATACTTTCTGCCGCGTAAACCACTTTAAATAGTGGTATCTCCTTCATGATATAATATTTACATTTCAATATCAACTATTCTACGATTGGATATGCTTATCTAGATAGGTAAACATTATTAAAGCTAACATCTGAATAACACCTTTTATTGTACTGCACATTCGATATTATTTTCTTACATGAAACATATCAAATTCTTTAAATTTTCTATTTTAGTCTTAATTTATCGTAACTTCTTCACTACTAGAAAATACCACTAATTTAAAAATCTTCCCTGCTGTCTAATTTTCAAGTAGAATTTCAAATAGTAGTGAAATCAATATATAAATTATGCAGTATCTATTGCATTAAAGCAACAAATAAAGTAGTTTTTTAGGTGATATTGGTGTAAATTTTCTTCTTTCTTTCTAAGAGAAAGTGGGTATTAAAATTTTAAAGTCGATTATCAGGTTAGTAGGATTCAAAATCAGATAGCATCATACTTTTAATTTACTAAGCTAACCAAATTGTCATTCCCTATAATAGATTCAGCAAATTATTCCAAATTATTGAAATCTTGGCATGAGTGTAATGAAATGAAATATGTAGAAATCAAACTACAAAACTTCTATCAAACTTTGATTCCACTTTCTTGGCACTCTGGTCGACTTAACGCAACTTTGACACAAAATAAAAATTGATCAACAATTTATTAATACGAATATGTACGCATATACGTAGTAATTTGAAGTAAAGTACTACAGAATTTGACCATCTCGTCCAAAGTATGCATCAGACTAATTTGTCGCTATTAAGATTATTAAGAGCGAAACTTGTTAATTCTACAGACACGCCTGCCAAGAATGGCTGTCAAATTATAAGAATAATTATAGTGCGCAGTCGTAGCTAGTCAAATAGCCAGCCAAACTAGCTACCACTTACTGGTAATTATATCAATATGACATCGATAAATTCGATTCAGTTTTAGGAAGAAATGTATCTTGTTTTTATATACCGATAATCAAATGTAATTTATTTTATTTTACGTGATGATAGAATAATAACTGGACGGATGATATTTTAACAGGATTTACTGCACTTCCTACGCTCGACCTCATCCTTGACCTCGCTCTTAATTAATCACCAAGTATTATTCTTGTCTATTGAGTTTTAATAATAATTATAATACCTCACTATTTTACATTATTAATAATCTTTGTTGTTGTGCTGCTTGGCCGAAAATTAATAGAGGAGATAGATCATGCGTCAGGGTAGCGATGATTCTGTTTTTATTTCTGATGTTACTGTAACGCCTTATCTGTCACAAAAGAAATGTTTAGCTAGTTGCATGATTAGGAAAATTAGATAAAATTCATAATATAATTAATAAAACTCTAATACATGGAATAGACGAATAGCTTGACCATATTATAATATAGTTACTCAAGTATAAGATGATAGCATATAGATAGTATTAGCCATACCTGAATCATAAGGATGAAATAGAAATATTTTCATTCTAAAAGATTCGCTTATCGTACAAGCTATAACATAACTTTAAATTGAAGTAGTCAATTCCTTGCTGTTTTCTAGCTATTGATTTAACACTAGTTTCTCTAACTTGATATCAATCAGCTAGTAGTCTAGTCTTAAAAATGGCGATGTAATCAGTGATTCCTTAAGCAATTAATCACAGTAATTGGATCGTCTAAAATTCAATCGCATTCAATTTAAACTCATGTTGGTGATGGCACCACACACATGACACGTTATAAACTGAGTACCTCAATTGATCATTGATGAATTGATTTCCATATAAAATTTAGACCCTTCCAATTTCAATTGGGAAAAGGAGATAAAGGCGATGAAAATGCTAAGTCATTATTCTATTATTCTATTCAATTCATATTGAAAATTTTCGTTTGATCAATTTCAATATAAGAAAATAACTATAGTACCTTTGTAACATGGAATGGTAGATTATACGAATATTTATTCTTTCCTTTTAAGATTTCGATTAATTCGCCATGTCTCACATTTCATGCAATTTCATATATGTGGAGAATAAGAAAAATTATTAAAATCTGTTAGATAAGCAGAAGATAAATTAACGTTACTGTAAAGGTATTTGTATCTTGCTGATATCACCTGCTTGTTCATCGATAATGACATCGAATAACAATCAATTGTAATATTGCATTACTGAGTAATAGATAAACTATAATTATTAATAGAGACTATTTCTGAAAACTCGGCTGCTTGCAGGATAGACGACAAATGGTAACTATAAAACCATGATAAGTTTATGACAAGAGGCGATATTCCTGTATCCTAAAATTCTTTACCTTGAAACTATCCTCCGATGACATGGCAACCCAACTGAATAATACCGTACATTTAATTCATAGCTGCAAAAGTGTCAGATAAATAGTGCTTGCTATACCCTACAAGGACTTTTACATAGATCGGCAGGTTAATTGCTACGTCCTATCAATATCTCTAATGGGGTATTTGTGTATTAGCTAGAATATTATAAATAATGATGGGCGCTGAAACCAAACTAAATACATAATCAAAGTTTAAAAGTACTAGAAATTTTTAAATTCAAATTTACGCAGAGTAAAACAGTACGGTACAATATACTATTAATATCAATTTAATAAATTTTGAATGAAATTTCCTTTTTATGCGCTTTTGTTCCGTATTCATAGACTTGTACGTATCTTAATGATACGCATTATTGTCGCATTTTTTAAATATTTATTGTTTAAATTGACCATTTAAATATCATTAGCTCAGGGATAATTATTAGATCCTAGCAACCATTTTTTATAAAATAAATAAAATCGAGGCTGCGATCATGTTGAAAGATTTCATGCACAAGATAGAAAATTTCCTTTGAAAAATAATTCCCTAAATCATATAATCAAAATCTCTAACAATACACAAATATTTTTGTTTTTGTGCTTTTCGATTCTCTGTACTACATTGTTAGGATCATATGGCTGCACTTCCAAATAGCAAAGAGGCAATGGTCTAAATTATTTTGCTGGCAATCAATTTACATTCGAGAACGAAATTACACTAACCTTTGCTACACAGCATAATAATAAGTTAGAATGTGAAAACAAGGAAACGCTATTTGTTTGAAATCTTCCCGTAGAAATATGACGAATTCCTTTAGCATCTATCACGGCATCTGACAGATCATTTATTAAAATCATTATACTCGTAGCTTTGCGCTAATAGTAAAGTCTTTAGATGAACATAACACTTTATGAAAAGAATTAATACTTTTAATCATGCCTTACACATTTCAGATAAAGAACCAGGTGCTTCTGAATATCATGCATACAGTAAACTTGAATGTAAAAATTGCCGACATAGCAGTCCAGTATAAGGTTACACTTTTTAATACTTATTCTGTTGTGCAGATAGGTTTAATAATTATATTATTACAATGAATGCCATACGAACATGATCAAATTATATTACATACGCGTATTACTACATACGAATATATGTACAGAATATAGAACGCATGGTCGCTTAGGAAGCCTATTTACGATGCTTTTTTGTCTCGGAAGAAATAGCTACTAATTGATTTTATATTGGTTTTATCTACTTTCTTTAATTTTCGTTCACTTGAGGTTAATTTTCTAGCCTTTTAAAAGGAATTAACGATGAAAATCAGTATATGTATGAGTGTTACAGTAGCTGTTAGATAAATTATCATTCGATTAGCTTCGACTGAATGAGAACATAGCAACGTTGTATAATCAGTCAATGTACCTTATCATCATGAGACGACTGAACTTGAGCTGCCAACGTTGATGGCGGATTAAATTTTGTGTAATCATCTGTGGGTCCTTGGGATTTTGTCTCTTGCTTCAGTTTCTGAATAAACAGTAACAAATATAAATTTTCGCAGTAAATTAGCATACGTATCGAAGGCAAAGAATTTAATACTATTAACCTTAGAAGGTGGCATTTCTATTTTTTGTGACGTAATGCTGAAATGAAACAGTACATTGGATGGAAATACGATATAAAGAATTACTTATTAAATCGTGTAAAATTTTAATATCATCTATCTACTTTACTTCATCTTTTTCTCAACGAGTGCACAAATATCTTTAGATAGATAATCCGATATTAGACCGAACGTATACTTGATGTAGTCATCTAGGCATTGGATATGGCAGAGTATTAAACATCACGAATAAGAATAACCACGTTAATGTTTAGCACTAGTCATATAGCTACCTTTACTGGTGCTGCTATCTTTAGAACTACGAGTAAATGTTTCTGACTGAGACCCTGTTCCAGCATAGACACCCAGGTGCCGTAAATCATCTGCCACTCTTTCTATCTGTATGATAACAAGGACATTTTCATTAGTCTAATGATAGCTTTGGCAACCTACTACACCTTTCTTATAGGAGATGAAAATTTTTTTAGCTATGTAGTACTAACTTTTCTTTGAATCCATCCTATTAATTTATCTGTACTCAATCGATAAGCAAAAAGATCTTCACTGCCTATGATAATAAGGTAATTGGTTAAAGTTAAGTTGCCAACGTGTCACGCATTGATGATAGTATTAGTATAGATGATTAGCACAGGTTTCTTTCCAATCATGACTAACTTTACTACGTATACTTTAATGTAGAAGATGTACCGTACAAAGTGTCTAATAATTAATGAGTGGATTTAAAAAGATCATACAATATAAAAAACACATGGTAGACCGCTTATTCCTATGAATGCATCAATCAAGTTTCATCTATCTTTCGTAAACTCTTAGCATAAAAATTGCCATTATTGTCATCTTCCATTCAGAGTGACATTATGTTCATATTGATCATGAAAGCATGAGTTTGTGAGATTTATTTCACAATAATAGCGTATCTTACCTTTGCATTCGCATACTTTAGCCAAGTCGTTCGCTGAAACACAGTCATATAACCGAGAACACGATGGAAATTTATCATCCATTAGAATTTGATCCATTGGTATGAACTGAATATGATCAAAGAGACTTGTATGAGCCAGAGTCAACTACTGTACTTAATGGGGGTGGTAAGATAATCCTTAGCTATTGCACAAATAGAAGTACCTTGTCCTTGACTTTGGCAAGATAGGGTAGAATCATAAATATAGGATCTACAGGTGTTGATATTAATAAGGCTCCATTTTGTTGGACGGTATTATTAACAAACCAGGATCGTGGCTCTTCTTTAAATTCCATTATTTCAAACAGAGAATGAGATTCTTGACAAAGTAAAAATTGGCATCCAATATCTAAGTAACATAATTGAAAATACGAATTTTGTCGTCATTTTACGATGTAGATTATTCATTCGAGGATTACGTAGAACATGGCTAATGAAAAGAATTATGTTTCTTATTGAAGTCCAGCTGTGCAGTACTTGCAAATACTGCTAGGCATCATCAGGTTGGCTTTCTACAAGTATTGCAATTTTAGTTAAACGATGGCAATATTACTACTTACCAAATCGTGGATGTCTTAAGGTTATAATACGATTTTTGCTTCCATTGGTATTAGCGATGGCAGCTATCCATGAAGATTAGAATAGAATCACAAGAATCATAGATTACATTTCATGATGATGGGCTAGCATGCCACTTGTTATGTCATGCATGTATTACTAAACAAGTAACGGTCGATATTGCATCAAAATGGATTACCTAGTTAATCATCATGAAATGATAGCTCAAAGTAAATTGTATTATAATAACAGTCTGATCATTTATGAAGGGAGTAAAACTAACCTGGCAAAATAGCTACCCATTGATTTTGAGGGCATTTATTCTGATTTGCAGCGGAGGCCATGTTTGCTTTTCCCGCGAAAAGATGATGGATGTGGCTGCGCCGCCGCAAAGGTGTACATCCTCAGACTGAGTACAGACATACAGTGTACAGTACAAAGTGTAATACTGTACACTGTACACTGTGCTCAGTCGAGGACTACTAAAACGGGTACAGTTCGGCACACTTGCTCTCCATACTCGAACTACATGGACGGATAGACGGATCGATCTCAGCAACTGTTAATGTCTTTGGTTTAGTCGTTTGGCGCTGACTGCTGTAATATTTACTATAGACGATTCTTTGCCTACGGTCCAACTATCGATGAGGTCGTGCAGAAGGAAGATGACAATATGACGGATATCAAACGTGATCAAAATGCAAAGCCTGCTACACTTCGTAGTAAATCTGCTCAAAAGCGCAAACTCATCTTTAAGAATTACATATCTTCACCGTATAATCTGCAATGGTTAGTCATAAAAGTAATCTAAGTTACAAGTGATTGACTACGAGCTGATGTTTTTTGTGCAAGCTCATGCCAATTGCAATTTCCCCAGCTATCTTCTACAGTACCACAAATAGAATACTGTAATAGTATCATAATTATTCACGATTCAATAAAACATCCGTATAATAATTTACTTATTCTATGCACCTACGTCAATAATGATTCAACTACGGTGCAAACTGATCTTTTCTATGCAAATTCATCTGTAGGAATGATCTACCCTTCTACTAGTATAATCGGTACAAACCAGTAGTAGTAATCGAAGTAAAACAGTGATCAACTTCGAGCTGATCTTTTTCTGTGCAAGCTCATTTTTACCAAATGCAGTTTCTACAGCTTTTTTCTCCTAATACGGGTAAACGAATACTTGTAATCTACGCAAAAAATGATTTAACTACTGTGCCAACTGATCATTTCTATGTAAACACATCGTAGGAACTATCTATCTTCTAATAATATAATCCGTACGGATTCGTTACAGTAATCTAACAAGTAATTAACTAGGAGTTGGTCTAGGAGAGCTATAGTATTCATTTTCTGCTAATATAATTAACCTGCACCGGCTAGTTATATTAATCTAGATAAAAAGTGAACGGTTGATCTTATCTATGCAAACTCATATATAAGAGCTGCAGTATTATTCTTCTGATAGGATACAGTTATCTGCATCGGTTAGTCATTAGCAGTCTAACTAAAAAGTAATTGACTACAAGCTGATCATTTCTATGCAAATTCGCATTCATCTATTACAATTATCTGTTTATAAATACGTCTACCCGGTTTTGTAATGTAATTTAATGTAGTTGCTCATATAAGTTTAAATTAATAAAATGATTGATTACGAGCAGATCTTTACTGTCATTTCATCTTAAGAATTATTACTCGTAACAACTAGAGTTAATCATAGTAGCCTAATGAAACTATTTAGTAGGAACTCCTCTATATGCGTCACATATAGTAATAATCCAAGTAATGGCCGTAAGTTGATCTTTTCTGTACAAACTCATCTGTAGAACTGTACAATTTCCTCTATATCATACTATTGTGAGCACATACGCGTATAGACTTGTGCAATTACAGTTTACTGAGGTAGCCATTCAAAAATTTTTCTTATCAGATCTGATCACTCTAATGCGGCCATATATATATAATATATACCGTAGTCTAAGCCATGTAAAATAATCTTTTATTAATAAAACCCTAACTAATTGATATCCTAAATAATAAAATTTTATCACTCGATATCTTATGACTCTGGTAATATCTTATGCGCAACTTCATTATGCAGTACAGCATCATATTTGCTACATCTTATAACTTGCAGCCTGTAGCTATCTCAAACGAATGGATAAAATTTTCGAATCGTTATCTTGTCATCTAGGTCAGTACTGAGCCCTGAAGATAACCAATTTATTTTACAAGAAATTATCAGGTGATTTGTAATATAAAGCACGCTGCTTTCACATATTGGAAATGATACGCGTAACATCAGAAATTATCAATATGCAACAATACTTAATGTTGATTTATGTCCGTTTCGATACTTGAAATATCGAATGATGACAAGTCTTCATGTTACTCTGCTAATATTTTTAGCTCCACGAAAGAATACTTTTTAATAGTACGCGCATGCAATAAATTAAATTTCTCACGTTAAATTAAATATGGAAAACGATAGATTATTGCACATAAATAAATAATTTAATGCTCAGTTGATGGTAGAAGATGACATTTGTATTAAACGTCTTTGCGTAACTGTAGCCATTCACCCAGCCAGCTACTTCGTAAGACAAGTACCCGTGATCTTAAATCTAAGGCGGATCAACAAGAAATATCTACCAAGCCCGATCAGTTTACTAAAGAAGATATTGTTGTTGGAATCAATGCAGTTATACGAACTTTAGAGCAAAAGAAATTGAGGATGGCTTTAATTTGCAATTCTATAAGTAGCAATTTACTACGGCGACAAATATTGCTATTGTGTGCAACCAATACGATACATGCAGCTTGTATAAGTGATCTTAGCAAAGAAATTGCTCCACATTTTGGTATTAATAGTGCAATCGCAATTGGAATTAAGGTCAGTTAATAGCACTGCTGTTTAATTTTTCCCTTCTATAACATTCTAATCAAGGTAATTATTTCCTTTGCAATAATATTAAAGAAATCGTGTTCACTCACCGGCTGTATTAATAATATCATCGAACGGGTACCACAAATTAATTACCCTTGGATTTCTACATTGGCCAAAGTTTCGACTTCAACACAAAGTAGCATTTGTAAGACTGTTGATGTATCTCAATCGTTTGAAACGAAAAATACTCATTGTACAGAAAATAACGAGGCAAATTTGAGTAATAAGAATCCCAATATTGATAATGCAGCCGTTAGTGTCACAAAAGATCCTATATTAAAGACCGAAACTGAACATAATTTGTCTCTATCTAAATTTTATAAACCTTTACATGTAAAAAGGCTACAATCAACTCCAAAGGGCAAAAAGAAAAAAAAGTGAACATAGTTACAAGAAATTTTTACAGGAATCGATCTGATTTTAAATGGTACATCGCATATTTTATTGATTATAGGGAAAGTGGCAAAGAATATAAAATCACATTTATAAATTTTCTCAGCCTCTCATTGGCATTAATGCAGTATTTATCAGCTTATATATAATCACAGAATTAAATGCGTTGCGATCTACGCAATTCATTACATCACAAATCTCGGTAAAAACTGGCATTATTAAAAATATTAGTAAATCTTGTAACAAGATATAAATATTTCTTCAATGTTGGATGGATTTTGCTAATAAGTTAATTTTCACGAAAGGAATTGAAACTGATTCGAACCAGTATAAAATTTCAATTTCTGATTGTTAATTATTGATGCTATCATAAGATTAATAGCTTGTATAGTAATTTTTATCTGATATTAATTTCACGTTCAGATATCAAAAAAAATAAATTCATTGGCTCTAGTTAGAGATGTTACCACTATCACAATTTTTTGATTCCAAATTATAATCTTGTATGCTATCTTCTTCAAAAATATGGTCATATTAATTTGATTACAGTATACAGTACTATTATCAATACTTTTCAATCACCATTTTGCTTTCGTCAGAATTGATACAACAAATAAGAATAATCAAGCATATCTAAATATTGCTATTACACATATACCTTGAAATAGTCTTTACTTCAACGTAACACGTTTACCCTTAGTATCCTCATCGGATGACTGCGATAGCCCAGTACGGGACTTAACAAAGTTATCATATCTATAGTTACAGAAATCGGCAATGAGTTAGTAAACTGTGATGTAATAAATTTCTATCTATCTCGATATTCATACCGAACCAATATGAGATAAGAATCAGGGTCCTAAGTAATTCCTGAATTATATGAGGATCGCAGCAATACTTACATCCTTATATATTTCGCGCGCTCAAATTCAGAAACCGATGGATTCATTTCTGAAGCGCTTTGTATTAAGTGATCATTCGTAATAGCAATGGTGACTGCACGTTTATCCGAATGATTACTTTGTTGGTGTAATGAGTTATGCTTCATATTGTCTGCTCCTTTACTCTTCGATGACATTAATGGCATCAACTGACAGGTTAAGACAAATAACATAAATGAAATAAAATCAACAAATAGCGGCGATGTCTATCTATACAGTATAGTAAGCCCTTCTAAAATTTATTTCATACCGCTGCATTGATTTCTTTAATTTCGGTATCATTTGGAGATCGTGGAGTCTCATTGAAACCGTGTATGAGTAGTATTTCTTTATTTGTAAATTTATTGGGTTGATAATCCTGGACTGTATTTGATACCTTTGTATAATACTGTTGGCTTTCATGTATAGATGTTATCTGAGCATTATATAAGAGTCCCTTCAGATCAGCCCCACTAAAATGTTCAGAACTTTCAGCAATTTCATCTAGGTCAACATCTTTTGATAAGGTTAATTTTTGTGAAAGCGCTTTCAAGATTTCAACTCGTTCTTGCTAATAAAAAATGATACCAAATGAGTAGGGAATAGTTCCATTCTCGCTATACATATTAGTATTATACAAATTAAGACTGATACGATACCTTTGTTGGCAAATCACATCTTAAACACTTATCAAATCTGCCAGGGCGCAAAAGTGCTGGATCGATTAAGTCAGGTCGACTGGTTGCAGCAAGTACATATACACCTATAACAATAAAAAGTAGAAATGATTAAAATATTGCATAAATTCTATTAGTTTATACCAAAGGTTAACTAATTGAAAGTACAGATATGAAGTAACCTTCCAAGCCTTCTACTCCATCTAATTGAGTGAGGAGTTGGTTGACAACTCGATCTGTAACACCAGTACTATCATGTCCTCGCCTATTTTAATCGTGTAATAAACAAATTTCAGCACTAAAGTTACAATACTAAATTTTCGTAATGTCTAAATAGTTTATTAATTTCGCAATCATACCTGGGTGCAATCGAGTCAAATTCATCAAAAAATAAAATGGATGGCTTGGCTGATTGAGCTCTTTTAAAAAAAATTTAAAAATTTGAAAATTATTGGTTTAACGAGTCTTAGATTATAACTATTGATTGTTATTACTAGTCAGTTATTTGACACAAACTCATTTCAAGTTTACACGTCAAATTACCTCACGAATAAATCTCGAACAGCTTGCTCACTAGCACCAATGTATTTATTAAGTATTTCCGGACCCTTGATTAAATAATCATAAATTGCATATTCTTTTGATTAATATCGGGAATAAAAATTTACAACCCATCCATAATTTTATAAAGCAGTAAGACACCTTAATACTTATGAAATTTAATCCGCATTCCTTTGCAACAATCCCAGCAAGAAGTGTTTTACCACAACCAGGGGGTCCATATAGTAGAATTCCCGAACGAAGACGGAGAGGACAACTGGCAAACAATTTTGGATACTATAATAGTACGTGAAATTCGTTATTTAATAAATCGTGTATAAATACTAGCGGTATGTTTTAAAAATCCTAACCCTTGATGGCCAAAGTAGAGTTTCTACTAAGACAGCCTTGATATCATTCAGTCCTCCTATATCTTGCCAGGATAAATCCCCCGGAGAATGTAGGCTTGCACCACGTAAGGCTGCAGGTGTATATCCTTCTAGAGCCTTCTCAATGTCATAGTTGAAAACGTTCAAAGAATTATTCGTGGCTAAGTTATTCGTGATGTGTCTGTTAGTAGCGGCATGGCGACTTCGATCTACTAAAGATAGTAAGTCTCCAGGTAGAAATCCATGAGTTTTAGAGGCCCACAAACTTTAAATGCATTTAATGGTTGGTTACATAAATGGTGATTTAGTTAAGAAAATAATGGTACGATGCAAAATTATAGAAGCTTCAAATTTATACTTAAGATCAATTGTGTCTTCATCATAAATTATATTTCTCCTTTTTAGAATAGCAGCAAGAATTTTTGCTCGGCTCTCCTAGCAACAAAAGTTTAATAAAATAGAAATGTAAGTTAAAATTTTGCCGTTACTCATGCATATAAACTTTTCTCCATTTCTTACTATCGTAGTAGGTTTTATGTCAATAGTTGTTCGAAATAAATGAATCCAGTTTGGAATTCGTTGTAATGCGTCCAGGCTTCGACACGTTGCAATAACTGATATTCTATCCTTCTTGGAAATTGTTTTTTTACAGATTTCATAAATCGCTATAAATAGCATAAACAGACAGTTATCTATAATCTGTAAATTACATAAACTTAACAATGAAAGGGATGATCAAATTATACTTACTTTCTGCAATCCTCAACTTATAAGTTGCATCTTCCCCAACTTCCAATGCAGGATCTTGAGACAACGACGTAATGCAATCAATATCATCCAGTAAAATAACTGATGGTTGATGATATACCGCTTGTTTAAATGTCTGTTGTAGCAATCGCCGAATTTGATCGACCCTTTTACCTAATTTATTATTTCAAACGATTAACTATACAAACTTTGCGTTTTACTTGTAATAAAAAATATTCAAGAAGGTTAATACGTCGTATTGAATAAAATACCTCGCATTGATAAGCAATGAATAGCTTGAATGTGAGCTAGCAGGGGCCATTTACTAGCTAGATGGCATAATCCATGAGCTAAAGCAGTTCTTCCACATCCTGACGCTTCACCAGTACTGCTATAGATTATGATACCACCATCATTAATTGTCACAATGTCCTGGGCGCCGTTCAAATCAAGCAGTAAATGTTGTATTCCTATCTCAAGTTCATTTTCAAAGCCACTACAAAAAATTTAGTAAATATTTTAAAAGTTTGTCATTATAGAATGTGGATAATAATACTGGCATTACCCTAGCTGAGAATATTGACATTCAGGATGATATGAATCGACATTTTCTAAATTGCATATTGGATATCTTTTCGCGATATCAGTGTCGTTATATAGACCTCCGACGCTAATATCTACATTTTCTAGGCTTTGAGGACAAAGTAAAAAATAGAACAACCCGGAACTAGAAAAGAGCATACTGGTAGAAAAAGTTTCGATATGTAATACCACTTCCACTTTATTATCTAGAAATTATAGGAATAAATATCCATAGTTATCTTAATAAACAAGACAATATCGTTACCACATTCCTATTACGAGATTTTTAATACTAACTTTTGCCGTTGATTTTAACTGGAAAAGATAGTAGTGAGCCGTCAATCACGGGTATTGGTAATCCAGTGGAACATTCTTTTACCCACGATGCGAAAGCCTTTATTATTTCAGTATTTGGTAGTAAATTGGTGTTCTATAAAATAATTTATTATATTCAGATATTCTAAATTTTGAACGCAAATGAGGGCGCTTTTTCATTATCTATCAGAATGATATATCATGAACCATCTATTGATACATACTATTTTTACGAGAGGGTGCAATATAATCGTCATGATAGCTGCATTTACTGCTTCTGTAGCAGTCACACTTTTCACTTTCACGTAGGCTGCCAAACTACAGTTCAGCTGTCTTCTTAATATTGATGACATTTTGATATGATTTTCTTTTACTGGTACTAACGAACTATCTTCGTTGTCAAGATTCTTTTTTTCACATGCAGTAATATATACTATAGTTTTCCTAAGATTGCTACCTTTGGAAGGTTTTAAATCTTTTTCTTCGTCCTTGCTCTTTCCTTTTCCATTATCATTTGAATCTTTGTTAAGGCTAAAGCTGTCACACTCAACGACAACCATGATGTTTTTATTACTGACATATTGTTGCCTAGATGGTAAAAGGCTCAACATGTCAGAGGGATGCACATCCAATGTGTATTGATTTGAAGAATAAATATTGCTAAGATCGTCATAAAGATCACCATCTTGAATTCTAAATTTCCTATCGATTCCTGATAGCTGTAACGATTCTAAACTATATTTACTGCTATCTCCAGTATTGTTGCTATCTTCGTTTTCAATATTATTTCTTGATTGTGATGTGGAAAACATAGACCACAACTGATCATAAAATCCGATACTCTCTTCATTTTCAGTAGTCGACCCTAATTTTTGGTTATCTTTACCTGTATCCGATGCTTTAGAGTCAAAATTCGCCGTATTTTTTGCCAATGATGATTTAGATCGCAATTTAGGTGCAACAACTAACTTGGTAGAATTATCTAGTAATAAGCATGATGCAGCTGGCTCGACATCAACTAAATAGAAATTAGATATTAGAATTACATAGTTTGATTTCACAATAAGTAGGTATTTCCGATAGCTTAAACGAATTTTTATTGACTCATACTTAAACTATGCTATTGGCTTACCTATCTTAAGTAAAGCGCAAACTTTACCATGAATCCACATGGGCATAATTTGTCCAGGCCAAATGACGCGTACTTGATTTAATAAATTTGATTCCACATACTGAGAATTTAGTTCCTATATCGTCAATAATATGTGATTCATGATTCATAATTACACACACTGGAAAGGACTAGCGCATAACGCATCGATCTTTATTAAGGAAAAAGATAAGCTTACTAAAATTTCCCAATCATCGCTAGTTGCAGGCTCTATGGAGGCACTGGAACAATTGTCTATTGATTCAATTTCGCTGATAACAATCTATAAATAATACCAGTATAATACATTAGAAACATATTTTTACCTTTGGGTTATAATACAGCTAGGAATACGAGCAAAATATGAATCAATTTTAAACTTGGCGGCTAAGATTCGTTTATAATAGCTATTCAAGGGCAGCCCTGTACGAGTATTTACCTCATTCCCATCTTTAATACCCAATTGATTAGCATATTGGCTGCTAATCTGGATGTAGTCATTTGAATCGAAGGATCTCTTGCTTTTCCTGACAAACTGACCAGACCACGTAAAGTAAGCAAATGAGCTATCATTCCATTCGGCTTTCAAAACCAGTACCTATGATTAATGATTTATTAGCAATTGTACATCGCGATTGTTGTTTTTACCCTAGTAATCATGAGGCAAAATTATCGGAAGTACACGTAGATTAGTTTTGCGGAATTCTCTATTCTAGATTCGTAGTATCATCATTGCGACTATCATTATACTGCTCATCTAATGATATCTTTGCAACTCACTCAATATTTTAATGTATGCTATGATCCATTAGAGTAAAGTAAGCTAGTATAATGAGTATCTATTGTTGACTATCGTTGCTACATGGACAAAATTATAATTATCGGAATTAGCCGTGGATCCAGCTGTGCGTAATTCTCTATCCTTGGATCATCGCTATAACTGCTGATCTACCAATCCAATGGAATTCTTATTACTAACTGGATATTATAATGTATATTAGAATTTATATCCATTGGAGAAGAATGAAGTCATCTAGCGCAAAGAGAACTAAAATTGTCTCCACGTTAAACAGTTGTAGGCAAGCCACTCTTGCAGCCAATACCTTGGAGTGCGAGCTGAAGTAATCTCTGCAACTGGAAGGTAAATCCAGGAACGTCGTTTTCATCGAAGCATTAACCTTGACAATGACTACTCTATTGCTCAGAATTCGCATGATTTAAGATGGATGGATTAACGTTGATTGTAATACAACCAATAATATTCCAGGGGAATCTTAATAATATTAACTAATTGTAAATTAAAATTGAGTGCAAGCTTGAATTAAATCATCGATGGCTAGTGGCCCAGGGCGGAGCTGGATTAATCGCAGTCGTTCAAACAATTTTATGAAATGCCTTCTAGTGTTATAGCTAGAGTCTGCAGTCTTGCTTACGCTCCATCCCTGCATACGGTACTGTATAAAACTCCTGGAAGCCAAATCGGTTCAGTAAACTCCATCCAGTCTACAGTGCACAGTACAAAGTTGTACTGTAAACTACAGTACAACATACTGTACTATACTAGAAGTGGACTGCGTTGACGATACAAATTCTACGTCTGTAACAGTACTGTATAGTGTAGTATTGTACGTTAGCTATAGCGTGAGCACATAACTACGCTCAGCAGCTTTACTGGCTGCTAGGATACAATTTTGCAAAAGCCTTTCCACTTTGCACATCAGCTCGCAAATCGACCAAATTAGCAAAGTTAGCCAGGGACTACTAAGAGAAAACCGCTCTGATTCCATTTGGAAGATCATTTTATGCTAAACTAGAATATATATTATTTATTGAGAAGGTAATCTGGTGACTGATAGGTTCTGCTGATCAATTGCTACGCTAATCAATCTTTTGCAGTTGGAATGAAGATCGTTGAGGTCGCTATGCAACGCTGAAGATACATTTGCTACCTTGTCTACAGATAAGGTATAGCTTGTGATTGATTTGAAATATCGGCTATTTTGGTCATTATAATAGTCTAGTACAACGTTTTAGAATATAAATAAACGCCTTGCATTCGGAAAAGATATCGTTTGAGGTGGTTGTGCAACGTTGAAGATATTTTTACTACTTTGTGAGTTGCACAACGTCAAGATTGGTATTTTTACACTCGAAAACCAGATAGTGTGACTGTCGTAGTAGTATTAAGGTAAAGCACTGTACATACGTACATACAACAGCCCATGGTGATATAAGGAAATATTCTGCATTTGGAAAGGACGTCCGCTGGGATCGTTATGCAACTTTGAGGATATCCTTATTGCTTCATTAACATCAAGATTGGTATCACTTCCACTTTTTTCGAAAATCTAAAATTTTACTATTTTTAACTGTTGGTATACGACCAAGTGTTTACTCGAGCGTAAATAAATCCGTACGTTTACGAAGGACACCCCTTGAGATTGCCATGCAATATTAAAGATACTGTCGGCTGTGTCTATATCGAAATTGGAGTAACTTGCATTTGCTTCGAAAGTGGATTGCACTGGTATAGTGTTACAGTATTATAACAGCCATAAGCAAGAGATGGATGAGGAGTGTACGCTAACTGTAAATAATAAACAAATCGATCAATCCATTCTATTACAAGATTACGACGATAATACACAAAACGATCATACCAATTTGGCTAATGCAAATTCTCATTTAAAACAATCGCCAGAAATGGATTTGCAAGATAACGTTGATAAATCAATGACCATTGTAACCTCCAATGCGGATTTACCCTGTGATACTGAGCAAATTCCGCTAGCTCAAGAGAGTGACCATTTCACCTAACGAGAATCAGCCAAAGGTGGATGATAACGGCAGCGGTGAAGATAAGATGAAATTCAACGAAGACAACGTGGAATCCAACGAAGATAACATAGAATCCAATGAAGATAACACGGAATTGAACGAAGATAACATGGAATCTAACGAAGACCACATCATGTACGTGGAGTATATGCTAGTAGATTAGTGAAAAGCAAAATTTTTTGTATTTCAAGTGAAAATTAGGTTCATGCTCAACTATGAAATGATATTTGTACCATTATTTAATACAAACGTCTATTCGACTACATAATGCGTAAGAATTTACTCAACCTCTGCCTATTCCTAGACCATTAATCAATTACGATTTTGTCACTACTCCATTGGAATTTTGTGTCAATTACTCTGAATTTCATAACCGAAGTGAAAATTTTCTCAAAGGTTGCAAATGGTAATATGACGCCCCTAATACTGTATAATTACTCTGCATATACGTATTATACCAGCCAAAGTAACTAAACAATGTGAAAGCAATCATTTTTTATGTAATATTTAACTAACAATGCAATCATCCTGTTCATTCGTCTAATCATAACATGATTCATTTCAGGTCCCCTGACGGTTCCTGTTTATTAACCAACGCGAATGATAATGTCCTTCGTGTATTTGACTTACCTTTAGAGGCTTACGAGCAACCATGTTTGACACTACCTGATCTGGTAAATAAAATATATCACCAACTAACGATACATTTAAAGATGGATTGATGATGATATTAATGAATTAATGGAGATTTGTTATATGTTTTGGATAGACTTGCGCATTGAGAATGGCAGAAGGAGAAACTATCTATGATTATACTTGGTATCCCAAGATGTCATCATATGATGCCGCTACATGCTGGTATATGAAATTTACTATCTAAAACTTTTTCTTTTGCGGTCATTTTACGTTTTAATTTACTGCATAAACAATACATACTTCATACAGAAATTTAATGATATATTCGATCTACATTCTTAATCTTTTTAGCTTCTTAAGTACAAGCCGAGATCATCCTTTACACTTGTGGGACGCTTATACCGGCCAAATTAGATGCTCCTATAGCTGTTTTAATCATTTGGTACGAAATCTTTTGTGACTAACTTGACGCAGGATAGCACTATTTAAGTAATTACTGCAATTAATTTTAGCTAATAAACTTTGCTAATGAAATAGGATGAATTATCACCCGCTCATAGCTTGGCCTTTAGCTTAAATGGTGATTTAATTTATTGCGGTAGTAAAAAATCCGTTCGTGTATTCCATACTTCAAGGCCGGGTCGCGATTTTGAAAATAGACCAACTTTCGGTAAAGAATACTAAGACAATTGATAACTAATCTATCACAATAGTTTAAAAGTTGGATTAATCCGTTCGCCTTATGTCTGCATAGTTAATAAGGAAGGACAAAGTGGGATTATATCATGTATAGCGATGAACCCTTACCATACAAATTTATATGCTGTTGGCTCATATTCTCGATCAGGTTATTTTATATTGCAATGTATTATAAGACATAAAATATTAACTCTTAATGTATTACATAACATTTTAAAATGCTTCGACTAAGACTAGTATGTCATATTATCATTAGTTGGCATTTATGAAGAACCCAGCGGCTATCTATGTTTTCAATTGAAGGGCCATCATGGGGGAATTACTCATTTACAATTTTCTCTTGACGGAAATCGGCTCTTCACTGGCGGAAGAAAGGTTTAACTAATTATGTACATCATTTCAAAGTGTAGTATAGACGAAGTCATCATCACTGTTATTCTTTTGATAACGTCATATTTATTACAAATTTTTGTACAGGACAGTGAAATTTTATGTTGGGATCTTAGACAACCTGGTGTTGTGCTTTGCTCTATGACAAGACAAGTTTTAACTAATCAACGAATTTATTTTGATCTAGATCCGTAAGCTTGTCGTCGTGGTATAATAATAAAGTCATGTATCCTATTAATTGTAGAAATTGTTTCTATTACCAATTAGGTCAGGAAGATATTTATCATCCGGCAACCAAGATGGTACAATCAACATCTGGGATACAACGTTATCAGCACAAAATGATGAAAAGGATTCTCCATTACCTTCGTTACTACAATTTGTTGCCCATCGTGATGCCGTAAATGGTGTTAGGTGAGAAATTATATAGAAAGTGTATTCATTGAACCGATTCTATGCTTTAAACAATATGCCCCATTCAATTCGATCAATTGTGATGTGTTAACGCTCGATTGATTATATTCGTATGTTTAGCTTTCATCCAACCTTACCTCTTCTTGCTTCATCATGTGGTCAACGTTTATTTGTTACGCCCGGTCGTAATTATGATAATGATAATGACGTTGATCAGGATCCTGAAGAGCACATAATGACAGAATCTTCTGTAAAACTTTGGTCTTTGCTATCGCGTAATAGTAAGGCGTAAAGAATGAAAAAATTTGTATACATACAGTTAAAATTAGTTACAGCACGAAAGTTTTCAATGCCATAAAATATTTTGATTAACACGTACTGTACAGTTACGTTCCTTTTCTCCAGCTACTGTAACTGGTAAAAAATAATTGCCGTATATTATTAAATGGATATTAGCCTTTATTAACACCTAACCTGTCCTGGATACTTTTAAATTATCCTCACAAGCTACATTTTGGATATTAAATGAATTTTTTTATTAATAAGATATCAATTGATGTAAATATCTACTGCGCTTCCAAGCTGGATTTAGTTCTAATACTTACTGGCATATTAGGCTATGGAGGGTACTTATATCAATAACCTTAGTAGGTAGCAATGCAATCTATATATAGTACGATCACGTTATGTCTGCATACTCCCATTAATAATTACTGACATATGATATTATCTATCGTTAGATACATAAAAAATTGAAAGTTTTATTTATGTTTTTCATCATAAATCCGTACCAAGGAGTCTTTAACAATTGAATAATTGATTAATTGGCAGAAAAATTGCGAAATTACTTTGGAATTTTTTTAATATAATTCCACGCCTTACTATTAGAAAATATCAATTCTACGTTAGAAATTCAGCTAGTAATAATAGCCTATTTGAGTCATCTGTAATGGCATTTTTTACTTTAATAGGAGAAAATTTATCAATAATAAATGAACTGGTCTGCTAACGAGTGGAGCGGACAAATTGAATGCGTATTAATAACATTATTTAAATACGATAATTGAATTGAATGATGTATCTAGGTCGTAAATTTCCTTAAACAAACACTGCATCTACTGATATAAGATTGAGGGTTATCGTTAAAATTGAGTACAGTAGCAGTCGGCGGCTCAAATTGATCGGTAACATTGACTGCTGTAACCCAAAAGCTCTTAGAATTGCTGTAAAAGAAACAGCTACCAGAAGGACCATCACACTCAATAAACGGCATTGACTGGAACCGTCTTAAGCAAGAACCAGGAGAAGAGAGGTCTTGGCCTGCTACAGATTTTCCTTGACCGGTATGCTGCAATTAAAATGCAATATATCAAATCACATGCAAATTACGTACAGGAACAATTCACTCAATTACCAAATCATGATCAAATCGAAGCATTATCAACTAATTATCTTACCATCCAGTAGCTGTAGCCCTGCCACAACAATTCATAGCCACTTGGGCAGGAAGGTGGAGTTTGAGACTGGCTATGGAGTGCAATAGAATTTGCTTCAGCTTCACAAACAGTGCATCTGAAATTTTAACAAAACATCAAATAAAAATTAGCTTCTCCTGGAGCTCAATAATATTGCAGCAGTAAACACATTTAATGTACCTTTATCAACCACCATGAAATTAATCATTATGCTACAAATTAGAAAGACTGATCAAATTCATGGTGGCATAGCTATATCATCAAATTTGTAGTATTACCGAATACAGTACTAAAAACTTGATGGTAAACCACGGGAAAGATATATATGTAAATCTCTTTCATGTAATTGTTACTCTTATTCTTATTAATTAGGTTGTTAATTGTCGATAATAACATCAATATCGCACTGTACTATAATTAGTTAATTTCATCATCTATACTTCCATCGTACAGAAATCTTGCCGACGTAAATCCTTGAATTGCATCAATTTCACAATCTACGTCAAACCTTGACTATCGAATCACTTTATGACTTATTCAAAGTGGAATACACTAAGTTATTCTTATTATTGGTAACGACTATCGATAGATATATTGTAACATGTAACTATAGTAATAACTGAAAAACCTTGTTAGTAATAGCTTAATAAATTTATAAATTCGATTAATGTATGCAGTATTTAAAGTTTCATCAACCTGCTGATATAAGGTCGAATGTTAAGACCAGTCAGAGTCATCATAGCTGGAGTGAGCGATGTTGATAACCAATAGGTAACCATGCTATTGCCACCTCGATGGCAGAGGTTGTTACCATTACAGTAAGCGAAAGGATCCGTTGAAAATGCTCTTAAACAAGAACCAGCTGAACTTAAATCTTGTCCACTGTGTTTGCTTTTACCCGTCATACTTAGAAAACTATATCCTATCCATAATCGAGTTCGATTGCCAGGACAATCAGGTATTTGATCAGTTTGACTATGGACCGTTAAGAGGAATCCAGCATCAGCAAAAGATCGACTTGGTCCTTGATCACCTGGAAAGCCCTTAAAACCTAAAATGCCGACCAACCCCTTTTCACCAGATAATCCTAGACTGCCAACATCACCCAGTACACCTTTAACTAAATTAGCTAAACCTTTGCGCCCTATGTCACCATCAATGCTTCCACCTTGATCACCTTTATAACCTATTAGACCGCGTGGACCAATATCACCTTTGACTCCTTGATCACCAATCATTCCTTGATAACCTTGATCACCTTGTTCTCCTTTTATTGTATAATCGACTTCAGACAAATTACGAAATAGCAAGCCAGCCTCTCCTACATCTCCAATTGTGCCATTATCACCTCTTATTCCAACCTCTCCAGCTTGTCCTTGCTCTCCTGTCATGCCTTTTAGCCCTGAATCTCCTCTTCTCCCTATAGGGCCTTGATCACCGATCTCTCCAACATCTCCACTAGTTCCATTAATACCTGGAATACCTACTTCTCCGATCTCACCAATAGGTCCAGAAATAGATAGACCAGGTCTACCTGATTGACCAATGTCTCCTTTAACTCCCATAACTCCTTGAATACCACGCAAACCGCGTTCTCCCTTTGAGCCATTTCTTCCAGGTGTTCCAGTTGGTCCAATTATGCCAATCGGTCCTCCATCACCTTGAATGCCAGGTTCACCTTTCTGGCCTGGCCGGCCAGGAGTACCTGGTGGTGATGGTTGGCCTTTTGGCCCCATGCTGCCAATATCTCCTTCTTGACCGATTACTCCTTTTACTCCGAGATCGCCTGTCTCACCTGGAAGTCCACGTTGCGTACTATTTAAACCCATATCACCAGGTTGACCTGGTAGACCTTTATCGCCTATAAGATAGACAAATTTCAACAAATAGTTAACGCTAATTCCGAGATTTGATATAGTGCAATGCAATCATATTTGGTGCTATGATACCTTTGTTGCCCGGATCTCCTTTAGTAGTAGCATTTCCAATCATTCCTATAGGCCCCTTAAGACCTGGATCTCCCCTCACACCTTGATCACCGTTAGCTCCATATACGAAAATGCCGCCCAAACCTAATTCTCCTTTTTGGCCTTGAGGGCCTAACACACCCGTAGGACCTAGTACGCCTGAAAAGGTAAAAAAATAACGCGTATCTAACTTAGCAAGGCGGATCTACATGTGTGCTGGATAATGAATATTATAGGGTTATTATAGTAAATGGATTATAGTATAGGTACTGATTGACTATAAAATATACCGGTACTTTCTAGATTATTAGTATATGGTAGAGTTCGGCTCTAACATAAAATATTTCTATCGTGCAATATGGTATCTCAGAATTCTTCCTCTAATTACGGTAGCTCTATTCTGTAGAATTATGTCCATGGTAAATTATGCCTGACCAAAATTTTGACGGGCACAAAAGTACATTAATTAAGTTAGAATTCTAAATTGATTTACATCATGTCCAAGATTATAACTCTAGCACAGGATACTACCATTACGCGATACAGTATCTCAAGTTCTAGTTTTAATTAAGACGGCGATTTATAAAACTATTGTGTGTACAATTGTAAATTATATTGGACTGTAATTTTGAAGTATTTCAGTACGAAAGCACAAATAATCAAGTTTTAGATTCGAACCCAAATAGATCATTTGTATCACGAGGACTATCCGGGAATTTTAGATATGATATTGCATGATAGAAATATCTTATATCAATCTAAAATTTGACTCTAATTATGATACTTCCACTATATAAACTGATTTGCAATGGAATTGATAGTCGACTTCAATTTTTATACACACAAAAGTTTAAATAAATAAACTTAGTTTAAACCTCGAAATTGATTACTGATATTACAAGAATTATAGCTCTAATATATGATACTTCTATTGCACTGTACACTAAATTAGGAAAATTTCTATATTTCTTGTACTTTCTGAGATGATTTTATGCATAGAAATAGGTGACAAAGTCTAAGGAACATTTCTACTATGATATAGCGTTGGATGAAATCTAATCGCAACTTTTAACTTTGAATACGTTAAATCCATCATTTAAAACAGCGTAAAATATTTGATCATTCTATAGTCGATAGTAATTCTGACACACGCAGAAGTACCTAAGTTTCGATCATCAAGAAAAACGTTGAAATATTAAGTAATGCGTATGTCGCATTTAAATTTATAGATCGGTCTATATCTTGTAAAGACTGCTTGAAATTATCAATAAAAAATACCTAATATTCCTTTATCGCCAATAACACCAGTAGAACCATTAAAACCTTGTTCGCCTTTTTGACCTTGAGCCTTAATTCCAATATCGCCTTGTATTCCAATCGGGCCTATTTCTCCAACAGGACCTTGCTCTCCTCGATCTCCTTTTACACCTTGTGTCGTCGAGTTATCGCCTATAATTCCTTTTTCGCCAGTAAAACCTTTGGGCCCTTGATCACCAGTATTACCTGCAAATAATACATGTAAGAATTTGTCAGTTAAAAGCGAATAAAGTAAATAACGTTCTCTAGTCAAGAGCTTACCAGTCGTTCCCGTATTCCCTTGCAATCCCAATATGCCTTTTTCACCACTAAGGCCTACTTCACCTTTAATACCTTTTTCACCTTGTAGCCCTTTATCAGCGACATTACTTGGAAATCCTTTATCACCTACATCTCCAGGTAATCCTTTGACGGAATTATTTTGTCCGTAATCACCAACATCACCTTTAACTCCTATATAGTATTGATTAAAATTTTGGTATCAGTAAGGTTTATACAAGATAATTCACAAAAGTTTTCATAAATTACCTTGAAAACCCATTGGACCCTGTAAGCCCTTTAATCCTGTATCTCCTTTGATTCCTTTATCTCCAGTTTGACCAACGCTACCTTTATCACCAGTTCGACCTTGGACACCAGGTACACCAGCATCACCTTTATCACCAATAGCGCCATTGGTTCCATCTATTCCATGATCAACATTATCATCACCGATATTACCAATGTTTCCTTTTTCACCTGGTAGGCCTTTTTCACCGATAGGCCCTCTAGATCCAATTCCACCTTTATCACCGGATAATCCTGTGAACAATATCAGGGCAAATTGTAAATGTTTCGATTGATTGAATATTGTAGGCAATTTGACAACAACAAATATCTATTGAGATTACCTGCATCTCCCAAAAATCCTTTAATTACAGAAACTGGACCTTTGTCCCCTTTCGTACCCACAGATCCAGAATCGCCAATGTTTCCTTTTAAGCCTGTAGGTGCATTATCGCCAAGACTACCCTTAATTCCAAACCCCCCAACGTCTCCTCCATCACCAAAGTTTCCCACAAGGCCTTTACTACCAGCATCGCCTGCAGTTTGTTTTCAAGGTCAAAAATTGTCCAATTTATAAAAAATTTAAAGGCTCTAATAATCTCTTACCGATATCTCCTATAATACCCTTGCTTCCCTTCTGTCCAATAAATTGCAATCCTGAAGCTTCGCCTTTCTGTCCCTTAACGCCATTAATACCATCAGTTCCATTCCTACCACTTGTACCTAATTAATTGATGATCATGGATTAGTTTTAGATTACTTTCAAGAGACCTCTCCGGTAGATTAGAAATAGATAAATAACATAAGGTTAGTTGATACATACCAGTTTGTCCTTGATTTCCTAGAGCACCTTTTATACCTTTACTTCCTTTAAAGCCTCTAAAACCAACTTCACCTTTCTGCCCTTGAACACCTTGATCTCCAATAGCTCCTACTGGGCCAAGTAATCCATCACCACGATCACCAACAGCGCCCTGTAATCCTATATTACCAACATCTCCTTTAGATCCAGCTGTAGTAGCAGGCTCTCCAGTTTGTCCTTTATCACCTTTAGTCCCATTAAGCCCACTAGGAGCAGTAGATGGATCTGAATATGGTATAAAATAATTTTAGTTGGTTAAATTTCCTATTTAATATGTAACGCATAATATCAAGCCCTAACATCAATTAAAATTTATGGCGATATATCCCAACTGACCTTGTGGCATAGCATCTGTTCCTCTTTCTCCGATATCACCAGTAAAATTCGATATTCCTTTATCACCAACTTGGCCTTTTGAGCCATTAATGCCAACATCACCCACATCACCAAGATCTCCTGTCAATCCAATCTGGCCTTGATTACCCAGATCTCCTGGATCACCAGGATCACCTCGAGCTCCGATTGTCCCATTGGCCCTGTTTCCCTTTAGGCCTAGATTAGAATTAATTGCATAATTATATTCCTCTATTCTATATACTATCTATACATCGTGGGTTGCTCACACCTTGAATAGTTTACAAATTAAAAGTCACAATGGCAAAATAGTCTATCACCGCATAAATTACCTTTAGTTCCTTTTACGCCTTTCAGCCCTTGATCACCCTGGCTCCCTTTCAATCCTTTAAATGCTAACCCGGGAATGCCTGGTGTTCCTTTTTCACCTTTTTGACCAATATCGCCGATTTCTGTAGGCCCTCTTAACCCGGTATCTCCTCTAATTCCCTATTGAATCAGGAAATGTACAGATAAGTAACCAGGGAGTAAGAATCTTCAAACCATTTTGAAAAGCTTTACTAACCTTATCACCAACATTACCCTGGATACCTTTAGAGCCCAAATCACCTGTTACCCCTTTTTGTCCTTTATCACCGATAACACCAGTTTGTCCTTTATCCCCAGAAACACCTTTGATATTAGATTGATCTCCTGTATCTCCTTTGGTTATATTAACAGGCAAGTCTCCTTTACTGCCTTTAATTCCAACTTCTCCTAAATCACCAATGACTCCCTGTAATTGCAAAGCAGCGTAGAACACATTACCTAATGTTAGCGCTAATAAAATTTTGTTAAACTGTAAACGCTAGACGTGCATGATGGATTACAAGTAGATTTAAATAGTTGCATTAATTAATGGAAGTAATAACCTATCTATTCTATTGATCTTACAAATTCTCCAGGTTGGCCTGGACTGCCCTGATCTCCACGATCTCCAACATCGCCATTAGCACCAAGGGGACCCGCCAAGGATAGTCCAGTTTTACCGATTGGTCCTCGATTACCTTTTTGTCCTACCTGACCTTTTTGACCTTTCGGACATGATAGGCACTGGCCACCACTTTCACCTGTAAACGATATTTCAGTTAATTAACAAAAATTTTTCATTTCTTGCTGAAGACAGACAGTAAAGGAATCGTTAATCATTTACAATAAACCTTTAGTTCCATTGGATCCACGATCTCCTTGTGGTCCACGATTTCCTTGATAGCCTTTTATTCCTTTTACTCCAGGGTCTCCTGCAACACCTTGTGTTTCTGCAGTAAGCTTAGCAGCAATTTCTGGCGCTAAATTATTATTGACATAAAAAGAATTAGGAAAATAATTGTTTTCAATCACTTCATTCCTATCTAATGGTATATCATATGCTTGAGATGATATAGCAAGTAATCCATGGAATCGTAGGTATAAATTACCTGGTGTTCCTGGTTCTCCAATGTCTCCACTCTGACCTTTTGATCCTTTTAAACCTGGAAGACCTTTAAGTCCAGCTATACCGGCGATAACTTGTCCAGATGGACCGCGATCCCCTGTTAAACCTTTTTCTCCTTTTACACCTTGTTGACCCTTCTGACCAGATGAGCCTGGAGTTCCTAGAAGGATAACGACACCATCAGCGTATTGATAAATATAAAGATTTTACTAGCGCGAACACAGGTAAGTTTTCATAAAAGTTATTGATATAGGACTTTTGATCAGAATTGGAGCTATAATAGTATACTTTCTGAAATATTAAAGCTGTTAAAGTGCATTAATTTTAGATGCTAATGCAGTACATAAATCATTTGAAGTCATAACGAAAAATGAGTTCCAACCTGGCTGCCCAGAGACTCCTTGATCTCCAGTTGGACCTCGAATTCCTACTGTTCCATTTCTTCCCAATAATCCAGATAGACCTGGGCTACCGAGAGAACCTGGTTGTCCACGATCACCGGAAGGCCCTTGGCCACCAGTTACGCCCTTTAATCCTTTACTGTTATTGCCCTAATGATTATTAAAAATTAGTGCGGTACGCGGTGCTAATCTATGCGCGTAAGCTGGATGGTCATATCTTTGTATTGATGAACAAGAATTAGGATGGTGATTGCAGAATTTGCTTACACCGGTAGTATTTCCCGGAGGCCCCGTTAAGCCTGGCAGTCCACGTTCTCCTGGATAGCCTTGTGCTCCTTCTATACCCTAAATTTTCAATAAATTTTGATTTATTAAATGAAGTCATTAAATTACTATCATGACTGTAAGGTAGTCTTGCCTCTAGACCATCTATACCAGCTGGACCCCTTGCTCCTTTTACTCCTTGATCACCCTAATAAAGTATATTTCAGCTAGATATACGCCTAAATGTTAACATATATAATATCAAGATTGAATATTTAAAACCCTTACCATCGGTCCTTTCATTCCTTGAGCTCCAACGCTTCCATTTTGTCCCTAAATTAGTAAATAATTTCTATCATTATTGCCTTCTCGATATTAAAATTTCATCATTTTATCAATTAATTATAGATTAAGTCATTATCCCATTTTATAATGACATGGTCAATCTTCCATGGGCAAAGGATAGAATCAATGGTTATAACTATCCTCAAAGATTAGCATACCTTCAATCCTGATGATCCGTCAGGTCCGGTTGGCCCAATTGGACCTCTTATGCCCGTGTTACCCTAAAGTAGAATACGATTATATGCAGATATTTTAAATTGTGAATGGATTAACACGATCAAATAAAAAGATTTTATTATCTAGCTTTTTAAATAGATTGATAAGTAGATTTTCTACTTTTAATCCAGGCGGTCCAGCATCTCCAGCTTGTCCTTTGTCTCCAGGCATACCCTATTTTAAATATTTATTAAAAATAGTAGGTAAATATTACTAGATAGAATAAAGGACGAGGTCTACTTTTCAAGATTTACCTTTTCTCCTTTCTCACCTATAAATAATGTTCTCTGAAAGAGAAAAAGAGAAGTTTAATAAATTTTAATTAGTGCTATATGAAAAGAGTAATTTTTAAGCGAATAATTGTTGCAACTATTCCTTGCATTTGCGATCTTAAGTGGAGTATGAGAAATTACGATGAGCTAAATTGCCTAGATACTTCAATGGGTGCAAGCTGTAATCATATGGAAACGCACTGACGTAGACATACAGTAGTTTTAAGCCGGCATTTAGTATTGTCACTCCTCAAGTCTGTTGTAATGAGCGAAATATGAGAGTTTATTAGGTACGGTAGTGAGAACTCAGCTAGACATTGAACAGAGAAAGTCTACAACTAGAAATCTCGACGATATCCAAAACTTCAAGGGAGCGTGTATTACTATTGTACTGCAAATTTAAGTTCTGAATAAAATATGGGAATTTATGATGTACTTAAAGAAGTCAACTAACATGGAATAGCAAAAACTTACTGCTAAAAAGCCTTACAGATATACAGAATTTCCAAGTAGATACTTATTACGATTGCTATTCGGTTTTAATATAGCATGATAATTTACAATATGGCCAGTAGCCAGACAGACATTCAAGAAAAAAATCTATAACTGAGGAAATTTGAACATTATATCATAATTAATTAGTGGGATGACTTACAAACATTCCATTACGGCCAAAATCATCCGGATATATCAAAACTTTAGTTGTTGTTATTCGCATTCCGGCAAGGCCAGATTCTCCGGTATCTCCTCTTGACTATGGGTAAAACAATAAAATGATAATTATAAATACCATGCTATTGCCATAAAGATCAATCTAATTACATCTATCATACGTCTGGATAAAATTATGTCACTCAGACTGAAAATGGATGCTTATCTTACCTCTATCTTAGCTTTCTCTAGATCCTTCTTTATTTTGACGAGATTGAGATAGCACACACGGTAGTAAAAAGAAATTTAAGCCATGTTAGAAAGCTATCAGCTAATACACTAGTAATAATTTCAGTTTTTCATCGGCAAGCAGATCTTATACTGTCATGAATGGATTAAATTTTACTTGTATTTGGATCATAGTTAATGGTCGCTTGAATGACTACGATATGACTATAATATCAAGTACAAGATACTGTAAATCTCGTAGCTAGATCAAGTGCCTTCTGACGAATACTACATGGTTACAAAACATTGCGATCTTGAGTCCATTTGTATCATAATTAACCCTTAGGAAAGAATTCTTAGCTTAATAATACTGTAGACTTGGTAACCAGAGAGAATACTTTCTAACGAAGATTTTATAGCTACAAAACGATTATAGTTATTTCATATGATAACTATATGTAAAATAAGTTCTTGAATGTAAGATACTTTTGACCTTAAAACCAGAAAGAG